GGAAGGAAGGAAGGAAGGAAGGAAGGAAGGAAGGAAGGAAGGAAGGAAGATCTATTCCTAGAGTTTGCAATAAAAGTAGGAGAAAAGATCTGTACTTGGAGATTTCCTCCACCAGTAATTTCTATTCTTTTGTTCCTCCTCATCATATTGTTTTTATCTCAGAAGAGGTTATCCTCTTGCCTTCCCCTCCCATCCTCTTCCTCCAGTGGATTACTCACCAGCCTATCTTCTGGAGACTTTCTGTGCACCACCTTTTCTTCTGTGCATTCCTTTGGATCTCTTTGTTCTTGGCGGTTGTGGCAGAGTGGATTTCTCAAAGATGGCCTCAATGAGCTGTCTTATTCCATACACTTTTCTTATACTGTGACCTTTCAAAACACTCTCAAGAGGCAGAGTCTGTACCCTTCCCCTTGAACCTGGGTGGATCTTTGGATTGCTTCAACCAACAGAGCACAGAGGAAGCAATGCTTTGTGACTGGTCAGCAGTAATGTGCTGGGGCCCATGCTACCAGATCTCCAGTGAGGGTGGATGTCTTTCTCCAGCCCTGTGCCCAGTAAAGTTGTGCCAATATCCTGGAAACAGCCACAGTGGGATTATCTATGGTGCAGAAGCCAGACAGGACTAGGATCACACACACACACACACACACACACACACACACACACACACGCACACAGGTGGTTGTTAAACATTTACCAGCAAACCACTATTTCTGAGGTTAGATCATAAAAAGTGATTCAGCTTCCCCTGGTTCTCCATCTCTCAGTACATGTGCTTTTAAATCCCAGCCGCCACGCTGTGTAGAAGCCCAGGGCACATGCAGAGGCCACATGTAGTGTTCTGGCTGACAGCCCCACCTAGCATCACCCCCACTCGGCATGTGAGTGAGAAAGCCCTCCCATGACTTCAGCCTCAGCCTCCATCTGTCCGGGAGCCCAGTCAGTTCCCAGAACTGAGACATATAATAATAAATGAGCACTGTTTTACACCACTTAGCTCGGAGTGGGGAAACAGCAATAGGTAATCACAACAGTGATGCTCTTCTCTGCTCTTCCTCATGGCATTGTAAGTTAAGAGGAAGGAAAATTTAACATTTTTAAAATGTATCGGTTTTACGTGATAAATCTTCATGCTCAGAGTGAGATTTACTCACTCTCTCATTTATTCAACAGATATGTATTGAGTGCTAAGTATCAAACCCTCTGCTCACTCAGTGGTAAGGGTAGAGGAGCTCCCTGTACACAAACACAGACAAAATGGAAACAACCAAATACAAACACGGTATGAAAGGCTGACCACGCAGAAGTGTGTCCAGGAGCTACTGGGATGGTGAAAAGGAGAAAGGGGCTAACTCTTGCTTGTTGAGAGGTGCACAGGAAGCACATAGTCAAGGAAGACATCAGACAGAATGTCTCGGCTAAGTCCCGAAAGCTTGATGGTGTTCCATGTTATTAGTGGGAAGGTTTTCGCAGACACAGAGTAACCCATAAGAAGGAATGAAACATTAAGATCCTGAAACCCTTGTTTTGCACAACTGGATGTGCCCCATCACTGACAGACAGTTGCTGGAGGCTTATGATCAGGCAGCTTCGTGTTGAGGCATGTTGAGAGATAGAAGCGTGGAAAATAGGTTGAGACCAAGTTATGAAGACCCATGACTCTATCCTGATAAAAGCTTGTAGCACAATAAGAATTAAAATATTGTTTTAAATCTATTAGAGGTCAACAAATGATGTCATGCTGGATGATAAAACTCTCAGAACTTACTATGTGCCTGTCACCTGGGTCGTTGCATTATTGATTTAGCTATGCCGATAGCTTCCGACTGGCATCTGTTCCGATTGGCTGGTGCTGCCGTTCTGATGGGTCAGGGCCCTTGACCAGTTTTTAAGTACCGTATTTTGAATGTATCACCCCTGAAAATATTATTAAAATCAAGGACAGGGCAAAGTGGGTAAGCATTCGCCATTTTGTGAGTGATAGCCAATACATCAGACAACGAAATAAAACAGGAGGTATAAATACTAGAAAGGAAGGGGCAAAGCCATAGTTACTGGCAGATGATTTGACTTTCTCTCTAAACAAAAAAGGAATCAACTTACAATTTTAGAATTGATAACAATCAGCAAAAATAAGCATATGATGCCAGATTTCTCCAAATTTATTTATGACTTTAATGCAGTCTTGAACAGAATTGACAGAGGATTTCTCCCCCTGGGAAACTCAACTAAATCACCTTTAAAAAAGTAATCTGGACAAGTAAATATGTGAGAAAGATAAGGAGTCTGACCCAGTGTCTTTGGTCTCAAAATTCTAGGTGATGAGAGAGACCCAGCTGCCGGGGTTGGGGTAGGAGCCAGGGGGAAGGCCGCTGTTTCTGACGGGAGGCCAGGGTCCCACAAAAGGCTAGCTGATGGTAGGGGGAGGAAGGGCAGAGGGAAAAGAACACCCCTGGGAGGTGGGGTTGAGCATTTTCCCAATCGTGACACATACCCCTGGGGACGTTGAGACCATCCTGGACTCAGCAACCAGGAAGAGGTACATGATGACAAGTTATTACTCCTTCCCCTCAAGGCTCCAACTGGACCTGAGTAAAATGATTGAGGCTGGAAACCTTCCAGGGAGTGAGGAAGCAGTCTGCAGGAATGTCTTGTCCTCACACCCTCCCTAGAGCCCCTGGGAGCCCTGAATGTGGAGCTCAAGGACGCCCCAGCATTTTCCTGGAGCACCTTGCACAACTGCCCAATCCCACAGGGCCCTTTGAACTTTAGGAGTTTGGCTGTATTTTTTTTTCCTTCTTCTTTGCCTCTTAGACCCCAAAGTTTATTTGTTCATTTATTTATTTATAAAATTGTGGCAAAATACACATAACATAAAATTTACCATCTTAACCATTTTAAGTGCAGAGTTCAGTAACGTCAAGTACAACAATGAGACAAACTGTTGTACGGCCATCCCCACCATCCATCTCCAGAACCTTTCTATCCTGCACAACAGAAATGTGCCCACGAAAAATAACTCCCATTTCCCTGTCCCCCCGCAGCTCCTGGCAACCAGCACCGCCTTTGGGCTCAGAGCTTGACCACTCTGGGTACCTCATGTAAGTGCAATCCTACGGTGTTTGTCCTCGGGTGACTGTCTTATTTACTGCACTTGGTGAAATGTCTTCAAGGTACATCCCAGTTGTAGTGTGGGTCAGGGGTTGACTGCCTTTTCATTCTCCTTCTGACTCTGAGCCAGTTCAGGACTCAGGCAACCCGCTTCTCTTTTTCTTAAATTATTTTCAGGAACAGGGTGCCTGGGTGGCTCAGTGGATGAAGTGTCCGAATTCAGTTCAGGTCATGATCTCACAGTCTGTGAATTCGAGCCCCACATTGGGCTCTGTGCTGACAGCTCAGAGCCTGGAGCCTGCTTCGGATTCTGTGTCTCCCTCTATCTCTCTGCCCCTCCTCTGCTTGTGCTCTGTCTCTCTCTCTCTCAAAAATAAACAAACATTAAAAAAATTTTTGGGGGGCGCCTGGGTGGCGCAGTCGGTTGGGCGTCCGACTTCAGCCAGGTCACGATCTCGCGGTCCGGGAGTTCGAGCCCCGCGTCAGGCTCTGGGCTGATGGCTCGGAGCCTGGAGCCTGTTTCTGATTCTGTGTCTCCCTCTCTCTCTGCCCCTCCCCTGTTCATGCTCTGTCTCTCTCTGTCCCAAAAATAAATAAACGTTGAAAAAAAAAAATTAAAAAAAAAATTTTTTTTAAATTATTTTCAGGAAAATTAGAATGCTGAAAAAAGTTAAAGAGAAAATAAAAGTGTATATTGAAAATGCTTTCTGACTTAGG